GGCATATCGGTACCTCTTGGTAACTCAATTTGATAAATTACTAGCTGAGTATCCTGAGTGCACTATCTCTTCTTATGTAACCAACAATAATCAGTCTTCAATAATTTTCCATTATATATTGCTACTAAAACTTCTTTGTGCTTCCTAAACTTTCTCGTTTGTTGCTGGATCTCCTTTAAGCAGTATGACAGGAGTTTGAGTACCTCATGTTGCAAGGAATCATTCTGCCGTCCAAAAGTGTTTGGGCCAACCCTTCTTCACATGGTCTGTAAGTCTAATGATGACTGCCATCTTTATGATGAATATTGAAACTTGAATGCTGTGACTATTCCTGACCCGTATCCCATACCATATATTTTTGGGGAAAAAAATATTTTTCAACACTTGATTTAGCTACGGCATATCATAAAATTCCTGTTAACCCAGAGGATGTGCCTAAAACAGCTATGACTTTTCCCTTTGGATTATACTAGTTCCTTAAAACCCTGTCTGGTTTGTGAAATGTAGGCCAACCATTCCAAAGATTTATTCATCAAGCATTTTCTGGCTTCGACTTTTGTGTTCCTTACTTTAGTGATTTGCTCATGCTTTCAGCAAATAAAGACAAGCACAACAGCCACCTCTGTTTGATTTTTTATAGACTGCAAAAATAGAGGTTAAAACTGAAAACTTCTAAATATATTCTGGGAAAGCCATTGGTATTATTTCTTGGCTGTTTAATTACATCTTCCGGGGCCGGCCTCTTCTTGAAAAAAACAGCAATAATTATCAACTTCCCAAAACCTGTAATAATGTCTGAATTAAAGAGGTTTTTAGCAATGTTGAAGTTTCATTAATGATTTTTGCCTAAGGCAGTTACTATTCAAGCTCCAACTCATTCTCTTTTAAAAGATTCTAAGAAGAATGATAAGCATCCTGTTTTTTGGACAGCATAAACAACTGCAGCCTTTGAAAAATGTAAAACTTGCCTAACAAATTCAGTGACACTTTGTTACCATGCCCATGATCAGCAGTTGTCATTGATGGTTGATGCCTCAGATGTGGCTGTTGGAACCCTTTTGCACTCACAACCCAATAATGGCCTTCAACCACTGGCTTTTTTTTCCCAAAAATTGACTTCAGCTGAAACTAAGTATAGCACATACGATAGAGAACTACTCACTATCTACTGCACAGTAATGCATTTTCAAAATAATCTTGAGGGATAACTTTTTTTTAATAAATTCATGTCTAAAATTTTGTTTAGAAAAAAATCAGATTCTGCATCACCCAGGCACACTGGGCATATGAATTACCTTGGCCAATTCAGTACCAACATGCAGTATTTTCCTGGACCAGAAAATATTGTGGCAGATACATTGTCATGAATTACTGCTATTAACAAGATGTATGTATTAAGTTTTGCACAGACTGCTGAATTTTAACGTAATGATCCCAAACTGAATCATCTGTTGTCCACTGAAAGTAGCTGATTAAAACTACAAAAGATGGAATTGTCTCCTAGGCTAAATATAGTGACATAAGTGGTGACAAGATATTCCCCTCTGTTACATCAGCCAACTCTGGAGAGCAGTATTTGATTCACTCCATGGACTTTCTCATCCAGGCATATTTCCCACCAAAAGACTGTTTCTTTCTTGTTTTGTCTGGCCTTCTGTGTCAAAGCATTGTGTTGCCCGAACTCAACTATTCATGATAACTTGAAAACATTTCAATGACATCTTACAAAAAGCAAGAGCTTCAGAAAGCAAAGAAATCGATAGTTAAAAAGGTAACCAGTAAAAACATGAACAAAATCACATAATGATTAGTTAAGCAAAGAAATCGATAGTTAAAAAGGTAACCAGTAAAAACATGAACAAAATCACAAAATGATTAGTTAAGCAAAGACTCCAAATATCTGTGAAACCCATAATGCTGTATATATATATAAATTGTAATTATCCCAATATACACAGCGACCTGCTTTCGCTTAAGAAGCATCAGAGAATTTCATAAATTTTGCATAAGGTCTAAATTCAGTGGCAAATGGCTATCTGCACTTCAACACAAACAACTGAAAATCTACGGTAGTTCTTAGATTATGTTCATTCTTCCTGCTTGTTCTCAATGACATCATTGCACAGCTATTGCTGACATGATATAAACAGGCTACAACATCTGACAACAAATTGTTACTTCAACAGGACACTAAATAACTGGATTAACTGGGGCTACAGCTCATATGTACAAATGGAAAATCCAGATAATTGACCCATCTTTTTCTTGTAGATCAAATATATGAGTACTATTCCGTTTTGAAGACCGTAAAAAAATTGCAGCGAAAATGTATGTGCAAAAGCGCTAAATCTAGCAAATGCGCCCATTTAAACAGTGCACCAAATCTAGCGTACGCGCTGATTTCAGATTGTGTAAGTTTATACAGTTCTATATTTCTTAAGACGCCACTGAAATACTAGTTCAATTTTTAAATCCTTTTTTGATATCCTATGGATTTAAACAATTTGGGAATTGCCCATGACAAAAAGTCTGCAATAGAATTTTGGGGAAAGTGCAGAATCAACCACTGCTTGACGCATTTTTAAGAATTGCACATACTCGGTATCCATGTACACATCGACCTATTTTCACTTTAAAAAAAATCCCAGAACTGCACAAAAATGGCACTGTGCACACCCTTGACTTTATCGACCTATTTTCACTTAAAAAAGTAAAAGAAAATTGACAAAAATCCAATTGTTTTTACCCTTGTAAAAAGCGGCAAACAAATAAGTGGGCACTTCTGCACTTTAAACCGAGAATTTTTTTCAAAGAAAAAGCATTATTCATTATAGAAAATTATGTTTGAACAACCAACGAGATGAAACTATGCTTTAGCGATAACTCGATAGCGAAATAGCGATGCAGGCATCCATTCAGTTATGTTTAGAAATTTTTATATAAATTATAATAATGATCTAAAATAGTTATTTACTCTTATCTTTCTATTCAGTCATGTTTAGTCTTTTTTATGCAAATTATAATAATAAAAAAGTATTATATGAAATTAACCTTTCATCTAAATTAAAACATCAATCTTAAATAGTTATTTACTATTATACTTCCTTTCTTGCATTAGGGTTGCCGCAATTATTTTTGGCATCACTGGCATCAACAATAGTTTGGCGAATTTTTATGGCCCTCAAAACCGAATACAGTCAAATACCGAAAATCCGCCGACCTGAAATCCGCGTTGCCTCTCAGAATATAAACCATCAGTTTATAGGTTCCGGAAACCGCAACACTGAGTACGAAATATCGAAGAAAAAAATACTTACTGAATAATGATATCATAATTACCAAATAATAATGAGGGTTTTTTTTCTGCATTGAGGTAAAAAAGCAGACGATTCACTCAACTCTTTGTTCAAGTTCACGATTCCCGTTGTTGTATTTACTGAGCTTTGTTATTTCATTTCAAGAGATTGTTTAGTGCTCCCTTTTTTTTATCTGGATATTTTGTGGATAAATTAAGAATATTTTAAATTTCAGCTTTTTTTTAATACAATGACAGATAAGAAACACACTCGTGATTTTACTGCTTGCAACATTGAAAAACGTAAACACGTTGCATTGACGGTAACGCAAAACCTGCAAATTCTACAAAAGATGGAAGCAGGTGCTACTCCTCGATCATACTACAATCATGTCGCAATTCCATGCCATTATAGCAGAATGGTATGGAATTGCAACATGATTGTGTATGATATATGGAAAAATAAAGAAAAGCCGTTGAAATTTTACAGCAACAATGATTCTAACACCAGAAACCGAAACCGGAAATCTTTGCATGGGGCGAAATCGGCAACCTCAATGCTGTGTACATATATAATACAATGAATAATATAATCAATTTATATATGTAATAGTAATTTAATGCATATAATAAATTATTGCAATAATGTATATAATAATTAAATTAAATGTATATAATACGGCTTATTCATTTTTCACTTTTAGTCCGAATATTATGCTTTATCTTTTCTGTCCTGAAATGCGCAAAATCCTAAAATCCGCACAACCTCTGGTCCCAAGCTTTGCGGATTTCTGGAATTCTACTATAGTACCAATATATGTAGTTAATCTCAAATAAGTACGAGAATTACATTCTTCCATTCATTCCTTTTTATTTTAAAAAAGATGACACAGTTAAAATGTGCGTATATATATATATATATATATATATATTTCCATCGAACAAAATGAAAAATTTACTTATTATGGTAAGACTGAGCAAAGAGAAAATGAATTTTTATTTACTTATGTCCTAAAAACTAAATATAAAATTTTGCTTTTATTCTTATATGAAAATTAAACAGATATGAGATCTCATTTGCATAAAATTAAAAAAATTCAAACTGAATGTTGTTCATGTTAATTTAGTCTGATTTTAGGAAGTAAGCATTTATTTATGCTTCAGATAGGATCCATACAGTACAGAATGAAGAGTAAACCTATATATATATATATAGTATATAATTGCTTTTCAAGAAATGATTACGAGTTGCCAATGATACACAATGACATGTTATTGAATTAAATGAAATGTATGTGCAAGCACATTTATTAGCTTACAATCAATTACTTTTTATTGTGGGGTAATATATATGCCATACACATATATCTAAATTAATTCAAAAGCATCATAAAAAATAAAATAATATTATACTCTTTTGTAGAACTTTAAAAAAAATGTTAAAACATAAAATAAATAAATGGACGACTTAAATTACATCAAAATTAGTACTTGGGGGGGGGAAGTGATCCAGATAACCAAAGTTCTGAATAACTGGCATTCTCCTGTGTAACATTAAACAATACTGATTTCAAATAGTTACGATGAAATTGCACAAATTCTGTAAGCCTTATTTATCAAGTTTGATTAATAAAGAAATTTTTATTTGAGATCCAGCTTATAAAACTCATTAAATCACATCAGATAAATGTTTAAAATAACCTACCGCAAGAATCATTATCAAGTTATCAAGAAATCCAAATCCAATGAATGGCATAGCACTATGGGCAGCAAGACCTCGTAACTGAGCAGCAGTTGGAGGATCAGGCTTAACATCTGTATGAAACAAATTGCATGCATTAAATAAATGTTTATATAACCAAGTTAAAAGGCAACCTCAAGGCTGCTTCTTTCCTCTTGACAAAGGCAAAAGTTATAGCACAAACTCTTCAATAAACTTTTAAAATATGATTGCAATATATGAATAAAAATATCATGTAGTAATAATAATAAGCTTTCTTAAAATTTGCCAAAATTTTCCATAAGATAGATGCAGCACATTAATTATAATGCAAGTCCAGTAAAACCTTAATTATACGAGCTAATGTGGACTGGGGCTAACTTGGATAAGCAAAAACTCAGATAACACAGATACAAAGAAAATTTTAATACAGTCTTACTATGCATAATATACAGAATTTGCTAATGCACAAGATTCATATCAGTACGTACACATACAAGACACATGTATGTTCAAATGTACAGATATACATGTAGTACTAAATATGATGCATACTATAAACTTGAAAACATGTATCTACAATATAAATGAGGTGCTGTACAGCATACATAACATACCACAAATTAAACAAAAAACAGTAATAACCCGTTTCATTATGCTGCCTCATTTTCTTGCCATTATATTGTATAGACATAGCAACATTATATTGTCAACTCATGATTACATCATCTCACTGTTTAGCCTAAAATGCTGCCGCTTCAATCATGTTCAAGCCATTCTGAGTGACCATTTGTTTTGAGCAATTCCCACATACGTTCTCAAACATCATCAGAACTTTCATTGCGTATGACTAAATTTACGTCTTCATCAGAAGTTGAATTGTTCATCACCTTACATCCAGTCATTCATATCTTCATTTGCCATTGCCTCTGTAACTGTGAAAACTAAAAACCAATGAATTTTTCACTCAAAGTACACAAGAATCAAGGCTACCAAACTCAAATGTGGTAACGATTGGGCCCTTATAATTGCGGTTTAAATTATTGCTTAACCCAAGTCTACAGATCGTTTACCTTTTCAACGAGGTTATTTTAATAATTTTTTTTGTTTGTTTATTGCAATGGCCTCAGATAATACACAGCCTTAGTTAATCAAAACTCGAATAATTGGTATTCTACTATACTATGTACTGAAGGAAGATTCAACTGCACTTCAGTAACTAGCATTAGCATTAATGACTGTAAATACATTACTTTCTGCTCCATACATAATGCTAAATATCTTTTCCATGGACACAGACCATAGCATGTATAGCAAATACAATAAGACTAACACAGATCTATATTGTTGAACTTCAACTAGTATGTGCAGATTGTTTGCATATGTTGTCTCCTTCAGTATTTTCCATAAAAAAATAGGAAGTGGATTCCCCAAAGTAAAGAGAGATTCAGGAAGTGGAATGAACCACATTTCTTGAATGCATCAGACATCATGTCATCCATCTGGGAAGATAACAACATGCCACTAGGTGACATTTTTTAGTATATTGCTCTAGTTTAATCAAGTTATAAACTGCATTTTCATAATAATTAATTTATTAGAATTAACAGAGTAATGAAACACTCTGCATACTGCTAATGACTTTAAAAATACACTGCTCATCAAAACTGAAGATCATTTGAATATTTCTGGAGGCATCCATCTTCTTACGCAGATGACCCTTGTGAGCTTTACCATATTTATATATTCAAATTATTTATGCCATTGCCCTTCTTTGTTTTGGTGTTGTATTCATGTTATACATGGAAAAAACCATGAACCAAACCAAGCAGCCAGCCCCTTTCCCTAGGTTTCAGCTATCAGTACTTAGTGGTCTTAACCACTTGGCCACTGGTGGAAACCTCAAAATTAAAGGATATCAGCATAAAACTTAAATGTTACTAAAAAATGATTACAAATAATTTTACAGAGTTTTATTAAACACTAAATGCTATACTTTCTATTTGAATAATTTCGAAATATTTGGATCTGTGGAAATTTAAACATGATGGCAAAATTATCACGATTTTGCTACAAATCTTTTTGAACATGGTATACAGTTGCCTCTGACAAAAATGGAAATCTTAGATCACAGTTTAATAGAATACATCAAACTGTTCATCAAGTCTTGCAGAATTACATGCCATTCTTTAAAAATTGCACTTTTCAGATAATGATGTGTCAAGTGAGGCGTTTAATGAGCAGCAATTCATCAGCCTAGGGCACTCCACACAAGCTCAACTGAATTCAGTGAGTAAGCTGGCCAATCCATTCGAGTGACATCTTCAGTTCCCAAAGTATTCTGACAGAGATTCTTGATGCAAATGAGCACTTAATTGATGAGCAAAAACTCTGAGCCAATAGCATCAACAATTCATCTATGTAGAAACTTCACCAAAGACATATACCATGATGTGGCCATTTTTGATGATGCCATCATAAAACCTGAAACTGATTCCCTGGAAATGGGGTCTTTCATGAACAAGGGAAAGCATGTACATGTTTTTCAACCCCCCATATCAAAACATGTCTTGAATCACAGTTCAGGACATATCAGAACTCATGTGTAAGATCCCATTCCTCTTGGACCCACGTGAACATTATGGTGACACCATATTAAACAAACCCCTTTAGAAGATGGAGACAGTGAGGAACAAAACAACGACTGCTTTGCATAGTTCAAATTAGTCTTTGTGCAGCAGTAGGTAGCTAATTCACGTGCCTGTAGCAGCCTGAAAGTATAAAACGAACTCTCTTGTCATCACTTTATGGATTCCTTGAGATGACAAAGACAGAAACTGGTCTTCAGACGCAGCTGTTGCTCTTAGCTGTCCTTCACCATGCGTTTACTGATTCACTGTTTCAAAAACAGGCTCAAGTTTTTTATATTCCATTTTAGGAGATATTTAGATCTTGTGCAACTTTCATTTGCTTCTTCCGCTTCCCTTGAGCATATCAACTGACCATCACATTTGCCCTACATTTAAATAATGGTGCTCCAAATCATAACTAATGAATACTGATGACTCTTGGAAAACACATTAACTTTAAACAACAATATTTACTCAAATTCTAACATCCATCCTTTGGACAACCCTAATCTGCATATTTCATCAGCTAACTTATACACAGATGTCTAATAACTAACAGATAATTAACATAAATAATTATACAACTCGACATTAACTGAATACTAATTCAGAAGTCAAACAACAAAAATCAGCGTTATATTTACAAAATTTTTACAGGACTAGTTTCGATGGTTTTTTCGAACCACCATCTTCAGCTGCAAAACCGCAAATGAACAAGATAGGAAATAATGATTAGATAAGATAAGAAAGCCTGGACAAGAATAAGCAAGTGGCGCCATCTGTTGGTGAAACCAGAACTAAAACATAATTTCTCTAAAAGCCGAAGGCAAATTTGGATTGGAATTAGGATCGTTAACTAGAACAGAAAGATTTTTATGAATGTGAAATGCCTCTAGAAAATCCAGGTATCCAATGGAAGATGTTTTTTGAATAATTTTAGCAGCAGAAAAATTGAAAGTGTGATTTTCGGACCAACAATGTTGAGCAACAGAAGACTTCTGTGTTTCCTTTTTTCTAACATATGCCTCATGTTCTTTGACGCAAAATTTTAAGGCTCTCTTAGTTTGGCCAATGTAAATTAAACCACACTGGCAAGGAATCCTATAAATACCCCAGGAATTCATATCCGGAATGGGGTCCTCGAGTATAGAAGTCCGAATTTTATTGATGGGAGAATAAACAACCCGAAAGTTAAAGTTCTGCAAAATATGTGCAACATTATAGCTAATTGAGGGAAAGAAGGGAATGACAACAGAATTTTTATAATCTCCTAAAACAAGAGTGTGCCTTTTAGTGCGTTGAGATGAGAATTTTTTAACTGCTTGATTAATAATGTTGGGTGAAAAGCCCTTGTCAATAGCTATTGCTTTTAAATAATTTAGTTCTTCATCAAGGGCTAGTTTGGAGGAGCAAACTTGAAGAGCACGGAAAACATAGGAATAAAATGAAGCTAACTTTTGTTTAGTCGGATGACATGATTTAAAGTGTGGCGGAAGGCAAACCGATGAAGGTTTACGGTAAACTGTAGTACTGAAGTTGGATGTGTTACTTGTGACCAGAATGTCGAGAAACGGAAGAGAATTGCAAATCTCAAGTTCAAAAGTGAACTGAATAGCAGGATCAATAGAATTCATTGTTGAAAGAACTTTATTTAAATCATCTTTATTACCTTCAAACAGGGTAAAAGTATCGTCTACGTAGCGGAACCATGCCGGGAATTTTAAAGTTTCAAACAATTTTGATTCATAATAATGCATGTAGATATCAGCCAGGATGGGACTGAGGGGGCTTCCCATGGCTAATCCCTCAGTTTGCTTGTAATATTTATTTTTGGAAAACAAAATGTGTTTGTTTCAAACAGAGTTGAGTGAGAGAAATTAGCTCATCAATTTCGATGCAAGAGAAATGAAATTCGCGAAGTCTGGTTTCTAGACATCTTAATGCACCCTCCACTGGGACATCGGTGAATAATGATTCTACATCAAAAGAAACCATGTGTAAATTACTAGAAGAAATGTTTTTGACCTTTTTAACAAACTCTATTAAATTTTTTATGGTGTAAATGTTATTGTCTAATAGAGTTGAAGATCTAGAAACTAAATATTTAGCTAATGGATACGAGGCAGTACCTAAATTTGATACAATAGGGCGGAAAGGAATACCACTTTTATGAATTTTGGGAAGAGCATATAATCTGGCACAATTCGCAACAGATGGGATAAGCGAATGTTTTAAGTTGCTTGAAATGATATGCGAAGATTTGATCGCAGTTTTTATTTTGGACAAGTCCGAAGGTGAAGGATCTTTAGGGATCGGATTATATGGTCCTTCGTTTAAGAATTTAGTGACACCATCGATGTAAGTGTTCTTATACATGACGACTATCTGGCCACCTTTGTCGGCCTTTGAAATGATAATATCTGGGTTAGAATGAATTCGCGCATTGTAGCTCTTTCTCTCGCCAG